GTAATGTCCAAATCATGTAATTCCATGGATACCATAATAATCTTGAAAAGATTTGGCTGTGCCAAAATCATGCTCACAGCGGCAACTCCAAATTCAGTAGTCGTCACTGAAAGAATAAAAAATAAATAAAAATTATTAAATTTAAAAAAGTTGAAAAATTTTCTTAATGAAATTATATATTCTGTATAAATATATGAAATCTAATGAACTGGGATGCATAATATCTTATGTATGTATATGCATGTGGGTGTGTTTGAATGTAAGAATAATGAAATTCATAATGATTGATTGTATCTAATTTTAAATTTCAGTACAAACTTAAAATTAAATATACGTACAGAGAAACGCGACACATACTAGCAAATTCGCATTCTATCTTATGGAATAAATACTGAGATAACTAATTGCTTATATATTTGTGTTATATTTTATCATGAATTATATGAATTGTCTGAGTTAAAATATTATTTTGAACATAGATATAATAATTATATATGATTAAAGTTAAAAATCATATTAATGATATATTTTCTACATTAATTTGATATATTTAGAGATTTACTCTAAAAAATTAATGATCAAATCAGATTTAGAATATTAAAATAGAAAAAATGTATTCTTTTTTCATCTTATATAACATATGTGATCGGATTATGCTTCCTCTTAATTTATTAAACATTATTGTCCGTGATTTTCTATTTCTAATAATAATGAATAATTGAATCTACCCATTTACATGTATTTTTCTATATATTCAAATGATAAATAGATAGATATATATAATACATAATAAATATAATTTTTTCTTTCACTTAGAAAAATATGAAAAGACAATAAAAGATGACAATTCAAATCAAAAAATTCTAAATTTTAGATTATAAGAATAATCAAGTGTCATTATCTAACAAAAGAAAATAAAAAATATTTGAAAAAATGATAAAAATAAAACATGTATACATGGACAAACCTTCGCATGCATGTCCAAAAAGCAATTCTCATTCAAACAAAAAGAAAAATATAATATGTTATACTGAAAAAGGAGAAGCTAGCTGTATATATATATATGGGTAATTCAAATAAGTTACCATATGGTGCAATATCTAGACATATGTATGTTACAATACCAACCTTTCATTCAATTCTTTTCCATACATAAATGGGCGCTATAATTTTATTTATTGTGTGCTGAATGGTTAAGTTGTAGATCTATAAAAAATCTGAACAATTTTATTAAACATTATTGAGTATAGAAAGATACCTTGCGAGATCTATGTCAATACATACACATACACAAACATACCGAGACATATATATAAAGGCATACGCATATATAGAGATAATCCAGAACTAAATCTATGGTTAGATGAAAAAATATTGTCATCAAATTAAAAACGTAAATTTTAAATCAAACTAAGTTAAAATCGCGATAACCAAAATTTAGATCTGATTGATACAAACACACAGATATATTTATGGGAGTTTACCACTGTAGTTGTACTGTTCAAGCAGTGAAGATAGGTGCATGCGTGACCTTGTCTCTTGATCAACCACTAGGACAGAGAGGCCTTGAGCGAAGGTTGGGATAGAGCTCTTTGAACGATAATTGGTTTTTTCCATCTCCATTTTCGTCAAGAGAAAAAACAGTCGATCTATCTAGATACAAAAGAAGAAGAAGATCAAAAAGGATTACAGTGCGAGAAGATTGGATAAAACAAAATGGTGAGTTTTAGATTTGAAGAGAAAAATTGAGAAAAAAAAACGATAAAGAGAGAAGAATTTAGAAAAGCCCCTTGTGACTTTGAACCTTGATTGTGTGAATAGAAAACCAAGGAAAAAACACAAAATGTAAGTCTTATACTAGGAGATAAAGACCCAAGAGGGCAGATTGAAGAAGATGAGCGAAGAAGACAAACCTCAAGCTTTCAGAGTCTGAAACCTACCGCGATGTAGAGAGAGAAAGAGAGAGAGAGAGATGAGAGATAGATATTGAGAGAAAGTGAAGAAAAAGACTGCTTTTGAGTTTATAAAACAATAATAGAGGGCTGTAACATCAACACGTGGCATACGTGACGATGTGAGAAAGTCTGAGCCGTTCATTCGAAATCATAGTGAAAAAGTTAAAGGACAAAGATTCTGTCTTTTTTATATGGAAGCGTTTTTAAACATCAAATCATTAGTTGACACGTCAAAGCTTATCTCAGAATATAAAATTAATAACCGTTACATTTAACGGATAAAAATCAGCTGTGTCTATCTCATTTGACTATGGTAACGTAAGCAGTAAACTCATGAAATTACCAAAAGGTCCTTCCAATCTTAATTTGGTTTTCTTATCTAATTTTGATAAATACGCTTAAATGAGTAATTTAAGTAGAAAATCATTTATATATAATTAACTTTTTTTTATTAAATACACCATATTTAATTACTACCAACACGGTAGTATTATAATTAAAATCTTTGCACTTTATTAAAAGTTTACTAGTTCAAACTTCACTAATAACGTATAACTCGTCAATTTATAAGTATATTATATGCTAATAATAACTGAATTGTAATATTTGATTCAATATAACTTATAACTTAGTTTATTAATATGCTAATAGGACCATCATAATAAAGTAAGTTTCGTTTTAGCGAGTTATAATGTACCGGGTACAAAAAAATATATAATGATTAAATTTTCTTAGTCGATACCATTTAAAGGACTAAAAAAATTTGATATTTGACGTATGTGATGGCATGAGAACTCATGGTTGCTCATTGAAAATTTTAGTGAAAATTTAAAAGAGAAGTGTTCCGTCTTTTTTAGTGGTCTCATTTTTAAATATCCAATTATTGGCTGACACGTTAGAGCTTATGCTACCGTGTGGCATTAACGGTTAGATTTCACAAACAAAAAGTTAGCAATGTCTATCTCATTTGACCACAGTAATGAAAACAATGAACTCACAAAATTACCAAAAAGTCCCTACAATCTTGATTTGGCAAACATTTTTAATACCGTTTTCTTAATTTTTTTAATTAAGTACTTGGTTTTTTATTTTTCAATTTTGCTGAGTTCACTTAAATGAGTATTATACTAGGAAATCATTTATATGAAATTAATTTTTTCCATCTTTATTCCTATAAATATATCATAATTAATTATCACCAATATAATGATCTTTTTATTAATATTTTTACGCTATACTTGAAGTTTACTATTTCAAACTTTACCGACAAAGTAAAATTCATCAATTTATGAGTGTGTTATACACTGATGGTACTTAGATCGTAACATTTTATTCAACGGGGCTTATGACTTATTTCATTAATATGTCAATGAGATTGTCATAATCAAGTTGAGTTTTATCTTAATGAATTATGACGTGTCAGGCGAAAAAAAAAAATTTCAACAGTTAAAATCTTCTTAATTGATATCCCATAAATGACTAAAAAAATTGAGGCGTGCTATATGAGATGGCATGAGAACTTAAAGCCACTTATTGAAAATTTTAGTAAAAAAAGTTAAAAGAATTTACTCTGTCCTTTTTAGGTGCGCCTATTTTTGAACATCCAATTATTAACTTACATACATTGGAGCTTATGTTAGCATATGATATTACTAACTATTAGAATTCACAGACAAAAAGTTTACCATTACCAAAAGCTCCCTGTAATTTTAATTTGGTAAACATTAATACTATTTTCAAATTTTCTATTGTATATTTGTTTTTTTTCTTTTCCAATTGGGATGAATTCTCTTAAAGGAGTGGTTAAAGAAAAAAAATTATTTAGGTACGATTAACTCATTGCACTTTAGTTGAAATTTACTAGTTCAAATATTACTAATACTATTAAATTTATGTCATATCGGACATGAGTAACCATTAAATTTTATGCACAAAATTACTAATTCATTTAAAAAAGTAGTTTAAGTAGAAAACTATTTACGTACAATTAACTTTTTTTGTCTTTGTTTCAATTACATACATAATAATTAATTGCCACTAATACAGTGGTTTAGTGGTTAAGATATTTGTGCTTTACTGAAAATTTATAAGTTTTAATCTCATTAAAAATATATAATTCGTTATTTTGTGAGTGTAATATGAGTTTGTGATAATCATCTATAATGTTTGATTCATTGGTTTTTATGATTTAAATCATTAATATATTAATGAGACTGTGCTATCCAAATTGGTATTTATATTATATTAAATCATGATGTATCTAATATCAAATGAGAGAAAAATTCCTAACGATTAAGTTTTCTTAGTTAGTACCTCGTAACGGGTTAAAAAAATTCATCTTTATATTTTAAAAACAATTGTATTTAAAAATACTTGGTTGAATTGAGTTTTATTTGATAAAGTCATTCAATTTTATTATTCTTTATTTAATTTTTAAATATTAATTATGCAAGATATAAATAAGTCATCATTTACTTTTATATATAGTTAAATCAATTTTAATTCTATGTTTAATTCCATGATTTTAGAATATATATTTTTGTAAGTATATAATTGAACTGAATATAAAATTAACTTAAAATTATGATATATATTTTTTTAAAATTATATTCTTTATATCTATATTTGTAATGTAATTTAATTGTAAATTAAGTTAATTATAAATATAATTTTTAAATTTTAATTTAATGCAAAAATGAAGTAAATTTGGTGAGGGATGAAATTCAAAATAATTTTGAAGAAAATATGTGAGATTTTGGATTATGGGGGGTGTTTTTGAAAAAAAAATCGAAAATCAGGGGGGGGGGGGGG